CAGAGGCTGTAGCTTTTGTGAGATTTCCAAGTAAGTGACTTACAAATGGTGAAGAAACTTCACAACACAGAAAGAAGAAAGCAACCTCTTTCTCTTTTACCTTTCATTTGTTAGCTGCTAAACCTAACTGTTTGGAAAAAGAGCGTTCTATTTTCTTTCCATATAGGATATGCAGGTGAATACCACGAAGTTCATGCTGCTGTATGCCTGGTACTCTTGGCCCAATGTGGTTTTGTGTTTCTTGGGTGGCTTTTTGATAGACCGAGTATTTGGAATACGGTAAGCTTGGGGAAAAAAAATCTTACCTGTGGGTAAATCTCTCCTGGTTATTAGGAAAATGCAGGGCTAGGTTAAGGTATTTCTAGAAAGAACCAAATAGGCTTTGCATATTGACTGATATAATCTGCTTGAGTTTTTAAAAAATGTCATTTAAATCCCTGGAACTGGTGTTTGAAACTTCCTTGTACTTCAGTTAAGGTCAGGGCTAGCAGAGGCTGCTGGTGGACGAAGGTAACTCAGTTTTCAGTTAAATTATGCTCACACTTCACATCAGACACACCAAGGTTGGACCCCCTTGCTGCCGCCTGCTTAGCTTCCTGACTGTTGCTGAACTTCTGTTTTCTCATTGTTAAAACATGGGTAATATCCTGCTTTGTGAGAGGTGGCTGCACCACGTTGGGCATAGGTGGTGTGGACTTCCTCGGCTCTGTGTGGGTTTTATGTTTGTGCCTTGGTGTCGACTTTTTGCGATTGCATTACATGCTAAAGAGGGAGCAGCACTGTGAGCTCTGCCATTCTCATCCTTACAATTGTGTGTGGTTTGGTGACTGCAGTGGTGACTTGGATCCACTGGGGGTATTTCCAGAAGGCAGAGAGGAAGGTGATGGAGCATATTTGAATCTGTGTCTGATGGATACAGACTGAAGAAACTGAGTTTTTAGATCTGGGGGCTGATTTGAAAATTTCTGAAAAGTTCGGGTCTGAAGCAGGAGTTAAATGTATTTTACTTAGTCTCAAGGGGTAGAAGGGGCTTGAATTTTTAGGGGAGCACATTTCACTTAGTATGACGAAGAGCTTACTTGGTCAGGGTGACAGTGATATACGCTGTCTTGGAACCTGGTGAATCTTGTACTAGGGAACATTTAGCTGAACATGATGTGGCCGTCTCACAAAGTGCTGGAGGGGGATTTAAGTTTCAGAGATGCAGTTTACTTGTATGACCTTTAAGGGCTCTTCCAATGGAGGCATTTCTAATATTTCTCTGGGGAAACATTAATCATTATTCAGACTTGGGTGGATATTGGATTTGTAATGGTATTAACATGGTTAATATGTGTTGTTTTAAAACTAGTTTTTAGTTATCAGGAATTATAACCACTTAAAAATTACTGTAGAATTCTTGGAATCAGTCCTAAATTCTTAATAGAAATTTTATAAAGAATTTCCATGTTTAAATAATTTTGACCTGGGAACTTCTTTATGGTAATGGCTTAAACTAATATATGCCATATAAAAGCCTCTGGAAGCTCCTCAGAAGTCTAGACTTCTGTAAATAGCATTCAGCTGGGAGAGTTGCGGACTTTAGAGGGAGATGAGCACTTCATTGCTCTTTCTGTGGAGAGATGCAGAGTGGATAGAGAAAACCAGAAAGAATGAGTAGTAAAGGAATCTGTGATTACTAATATTAATGTAAGAAGAAATTAAAACTTTTACCCCCTCTTTCTCAAACAGATGGGGCACAATTATTTTTAGCTGCTTTGTTTGCATAGGACAGGTAAGGCCAATGTATTTATTATTTATTTGACAGTGATTTTTTGAATTCTTGTCTAATTCCACTGGCAAAGATGTGTTTAATGAAATGTCTAGCATACTCAAGCAAGGCCCATAAATATCTAAGTCTAAGCTTTGAAATACATGTTTGATTAGCATTTTAATTTCACAAATTTATTAAGGAAGATAGTACAACTATTATAGAAGTTAAGATTTATTGTTTCTCTTGAGTACTTTCTTTTATCCAGTCATTATTAAATTTTACATTCTAGGTGATTTTTGCTCTGGGTGCAATAGTTAATGCTTTTTGGCTGATGGAATTTGGAAGATTTGTGTTTGGGTAAGTTTGCATAATTTTATTTATCGTAACATTTATTAAGGATTTTTTTCTTTTGGTGCCGGGAATTGAACCCTGGATCTTGGCACATGATCTACCAGTGAGTTACACCTCCAGCCTCTTAGTAAGAGTTTAAAATATATATTATGGTTCTTCTGAGGAGTCATTTCTAATCCTTGAAATGTTGCCTCTGTACACATAAGATTCTTCCTCAGATGTCTCAGTTTCCTTTAAAATAAGCAGCAGTTTTGCAAGTTGTGATTGGCCCCATGTCCGTTTGAAGTTAACTGCTGCTCCAGAGTGACTTATCCCCAGGCTTGTTTGCCTATTCTGCTGTGTTGAACCCTCATTCAGGAAAGCATAGGCCGTTGGTTTCTGGGGTGTGGTCCTGGATGCCTTGCTGTTCTCCGGGGATGTGCAGGTCCCTTTGCTCCCTGCCCAGGAGCTGTGCAGAAGCAGGATGCCCTGAGAGTCTATTTAGTAAGCCTGTTCAGCGTCAGTCCTGGGCTTCCTGCCTCGAGAGGTGCAGATGACAAGTTCCTTTGTCTTCAACATGACTTACTCTAGCTTTCACCAGCACCAGGGATGTGTGGCCATGGGTGACAAACCGCCACAAGTG